CCTAACAACATAAGGTTATTCTGTTCTCTGTGAATGATTTATCAGTTCATACAAACTATTAGATAGATTCGAATTTCATTAGATTTTTTGTGTTGGGTCCAATAAAGGCAGGGATAGACCGAGGGACTGGGGGCTGAACAAGAGAAGATTTCACTAAAGAAAATTTACATGTATGATCAATCAATATGAACCAAACGCATGCATGATATATTACTGAAAGATTATGTGAAAAATTGAAACAAGGAACCCAATGTCTAGATTCAGACAACCATGGGGAACAAGTATAAGATCATGGTAGCTGATCGGTCAGAGCCCCATTCGACAACTTCTTTCAAAGACCTAATGGCGAGACGACGAATTCACTTAACAGACAGGAAGACAAATACAATCAGACACTGAAACAACAGCATTCATTCACCTATATGATGTTTTGGTTCCGTTAGTGACAGGCACAGCTCAACTTCGATTAAAGTCTATATGCTTGTCATTACTCGCACCATTTTACGCTAATGGGTCCCAAAAGAGAAAGAAAAAGTCCGGTAGTGTCCCGATGTTTCTGAGTGAACGACATCGTTCAACGTCTTCTTATATTCCTTAGATACTCAGCTTTTTATAGTGCATATCGATCTCGGTTCTAGTCACGATTACCCTTATAACTGCAGTGTCATCGGTTCCCAGACCTTCCCTTGCATCATGCAGTACCTACACACATAGTTGCACAAAGGTGATGAGACTTCCAAAGATGCAAATTACGATAAGCACATCAAACATAAAATGCTAGCATTACAATTCCCAGAAGTAAGTTGATAATATTCCAACGATATAACCAAAATGCGGTTAGAAGTGTTAAAAAAAACAAAATTAAATCTCACATGAAAAAAGTAAAAGAGAGCGGTGATTGTTCATATACTATCTTCTCTCTCTCTTTTTTTTTTTTGAACATTAGTGGACATATCTCTCGTACATGCGTGCTGCCGCCCGCAGCGGCCAGTCCAGTTTGTGATTCCGTGCTCATTTCAATCGATCCAAATCACAATTTCCTTTTAAGTAAACTACGAATTGTCATTCAACTGTTCACTCCCGTAGTTCCGTTTTTAATCATTTAAATTTTTTTTCTATTTCAAAATCATATCTAAAGTTACATTTTAATCACACGTTGTTAAAAAATTAATAGTGATATTAATGTGTTATCATTATATAGTATCGTATCATTATTAAAAAATAAAAAATTATCACACAGTAGCTTTATTTATTTTTTAGCGACGAGTGACTAATTTTAGGTGTGATTTTTTTAAAAATAAATAGTTGAGTGTCCAAAATAAAACCGCAAGAATAGTTAATATGTAAGTCTATACCATTCTTCTCTCTCTTTTTTGGTTTTTTTACAATTCTCTTTTTTTTTTACTCGAAGTTTTTGAGAAATTGTCGGTTCCTCCTCAGAATTTTTGTATAAAATAATTAAGAATTATGTTAACAGGATAACGTCCATTTCAAGTATTACACTAATCATGATGGTTTTATTTTTAAGACTAATTCTTCACGACATGATCAACTTCTATTTTTTCGATTATCTGCTTTCCAGTCAATGCTAACGACTTAAGCACTTTTATGTTTCCAACAAATACAATATAGGAAACAGAAGCATACCTTAGCAAATACTTTGCAGGATTGTGTGAGCATTCAAAATGGTGAAGAGACCATGCTCAACTTCCCAGATGTTTCACTCTTCACTGCCTGAAGAAAAATCCCAGGAAAAGAAGTCAATTAATCATCACAACAAGACTTCAAATGAAGAAGATGAGAAAGTTAAAACCTTTTTCAAGGAGCCTCCATACATGTCATGATAAGCAGATGTAATAGCTGCCAACTGTGCCCTACTTCTTTCACTGAATATGCGTATAAAAGTTTTCTCATCAGTTCCAAGCTTCTTCTCCCCTGCTTTGAATAGATCCTTTGCATTTTCATGGCCTTATCTCTGTCAACTTCAACCCCTTCAGAAACGGTGGGTACTCAGATATGCAAGCAAGAGCTGTACAAATAACAATATCAGTTGCTTAAACCGAGTTAAGTCGAACTTCAATTTTTGATTTTGAATTTGAAGCAAACTTTTCAATTTTAAACTCAGACTTTTAAATTGAGCTAAACTCAACAATACTCGAACTTGACTCACTCTTTTATAATCCTAAGCAGGGATAAAATTTGAAAAGGAACACATCAAAACATAGTTATGCGAAATATACCGCTTGATGATCGCCAGAGGTGTGTTAGTGCAACATCTTCCCGAGCAAAATCCCAAACTTTGAATGGTAAATTTGTTTGATTAGTTGAATCTGGGATGGGGTGCGAGAAAATATAACTTCGGTTGCACCAGCAAGATTTGTTACGTTTGACACAATGCCTGCCTGATCACTGTGGCGTCACGTTCGCGGATCATGCATCCATAGCAACACGGCCGTCTGAGATTATATGATAAAAAACTCAGCATGCACTCTATTATATAGAAACAGGCGCACAACTGAATTCTAATTCACCCTAATGTTTGTAAAGTTATCACAAACTTTGTACTTGAGATAAGAAATTCCCAATTAGATAAAATTATTAATTCATTAATTGGTTGAGACGTGAAACTAATAATATGATATATGTCAGGTCGAAAGTGATGATTTGACATTATGTGTTAAAAAATAATAACGTATTCAATTTGTAAATAAAATGATAAACATGACATGACATGTGTCAAAAGAGATAACATAATAATCTTACGTCACCGAGAAACGTTCTCGCTACTGTTAATCAATTATGGTTTTGATCTTGTCAAATACAATTTTATCTCAAAATAAAACAGCGGAGGCGTAGGAAATAAAAGAAAGAGGTACCTCTAATTTTCCACTAAGCTCGGACACCAGTCGTTTGAGAAGGTCTTCGGAATACATTGCTTTATACTCATGTTGGATAAAGAACGGTGTGGTGCACCACGGTGGGAAAGAATGTTGACGACCGTTGCAGTATCGCATCCCAGCCCTGTAGAAAAGTAATGTCACAGCCAACAACAAACAGTGAACAAGTAAATTTTAGAATAAGAAAGGTAAAAGGAAAGGTACCCTTGAAAGCACGGTAAAGCTGAATAGCATCGTTCTCTAGGTAAGAACAGGTGGAACGCTCAAAGTTGACATCTTTGCTTTGCTTTGCTGCTGTCTTAATTCTGAAAATCTGGGTTTTGGAACTCCTCCTGTTCTCTAATTTTATAGTCAGCTAACCACACGGTACGACCTTCATTATTAGGAACTCAACCACTCCACAACCATCTACTTCCACTCCTCATTCAGTTCTATTTAATTTTTTAATAAAAGATTAATCAAACTGTATTATACGATTTTTTTAGAAATTTAAAATTAAAATCAAAAGATATAAAAATTGATATTTTCGAATCAATTTAAATCGGTTCAGTTTTGTAGTTTTTAACTGTTCATCATTTTTCAAACTCGAAAAAAACAAACTTTAAGTTTAAATAAAGTGTAAAAACACAAATATTAATTCATAAAAAATATATTATGTGTATTATTTAAGTATATCTTATAATAAATTTAAAACAAATTGATTTAGATTATTTTATTTTAATTTGATCTGATTTAAATCAAAAAAATTTCATATAAAAACCGGGAAAAATCATAAAATTTTATATCAAAATTCAATTGAAACCGAATGTAATGAAAAACTCGAATTAAATTAAACCGTACAATTCATTTTGGATCGATTTATCATTTGATTTCATTGCCGAGTCCGATTAGGAAACCGCAAGGCTGCCACATTTTCTTCCGAAAGCCATGGTTTTTTTATATAAAATAGAAATTCATGGTCAACGGAAGATCGACCAAAAGGGACTATGATGAATTAATTCCTTTTCTGAATTAGTGGGTAGGTGGGAGTGGTGAAGGGACGTAATTGAAAAAAGTAACAAATATTGAGGATCTTTTTATTATTATATTATATTATTATATATATATCAATACCGGTGTGCGATTGGGGCTGCTGACTTGTTCCATTTTGTTCATGTTAATTATTCAGCCCTTGGTCTACTTGGTCTTGGTGATATTTGCAATTGTCAATGTCAAGTTGCAGTTGTGCACATTCCACTCTGAGTAGTTTCACATTTGAATTATTCGAGTTTGAATCAAATATTTACCATTTACATTCGATCATTTTGAGTTGGCATGCGTTCAAAGCTCCGGTTCGTTTCGAGGGTTGGTTGAACAAGACACCGGCAATGAAACCCAAAACTCAACCAATATAGTCAAATGTCCCTCATAATTTTAAATACTTAATAGATCATTGTCCTTCTAATATTTGATTATAGCTCCGTCCGTCTCAAAAGTAACCACGAAAAGCTACCCATCCAAAACGAAAACCTCCAAACTGAACTATAAGTAACTAAATACCATGTTATTTGTAGAAGACGAATTGATGAATTGTTGTGCATACCCATATAAGGTTGATATATAATGCTTTCCAATTGTATTGTGTTAAATATATTTCAAGACTCTTCCTGCAATGCATAATGTTCTTTGTACAATGATTGGTTGGACCATAAAATGGTGAAGAATAGTTGCACTTGCACAGTGTCATTGCATTACCATGATTTGTTCAAACATTAGAGATAATACTCATCGACTGACTGATGCAAGTATCCATCTTGAATCTGATTTTTTTTGTGTGTTAGTTATCCATTTACTGAAGGTGTCCACCTTGAAATATTATTTATGTCTACACTATACAAATTTATTTTATAAAATACATATGTACACATGCTCAAAAGTATTTTGACTTCGTCATTGTACTCGTATGTCTCTCTAGCCATCCTCCGAATGAATGATGGTTGCAGAAACATTAAATGAAATTAGATCATCTGTTAGAAGAGGCATGGGAGGAACAAGTGGAGTCATGTAATTCGCTTGTATATTTGATATATACGCTTGGACAGATAACTAGAAATGCAAAGTTGGCATTCTCTCTATGAACAGATGCATAATATTTTGCAAGACAATTTACCTACAATATCACTACAGCTTCAGTTCCAAAGAAAGGATGCCAGTGCCACTACTAGACAAGTTTGAGATGAACAACCTGAAAAGCTAAGAACTCAATTCATCTTTGCATTACAATCGATATGTTCGGGTGATACGGATCTGATCAAAGAACATAGGCATGTTAGAACTTCAAAATTCAACATTGCATATGACATAATCATCTTATAGATCTCATAACAAAGACAACCATTGTACTCGTGGCCTTGGCAGACAATTATTATCTTATAAATATCAGATCACAAGTTCCAGAGCGTTGACATTGGCGGAACTTTGTGATCTTCTTTTAGCATTTATTCGTTTTTGAAGCTGCTAACAGTAATTAGCTGATTCATGTTTAAACTGCTAGGTTTTCAGTGTTGTTATTGCTAAAAATCCAGCCCAATATCTGTAGAGAAAGTAAATTTGTGCTTTGCTTGTTTAACATTGTCTATGCCCTAGGACAGTAAGTCATTAGTCTTACAATCAATGTAAATCCAGATTCATCACTATATTTCCAGCAACTCACATGTCTTACACCCATCTTAAATCCCATTTAATGTAAAATATAAACTTTCATTGCTTGTTTGACATTTAGGCCTGCATATAATAAACTGACAACAATTACCTGTGCAAATCCATAAATAGCTCGCAAAATTCTAGCATAATCGGTTCCTAGCATCTGAATGACAACATCAGCCATAAATGTCCCCAAAACCTACAGTACATGAGATACAACCGATTGAAGAAGAGCAAGCCACAGAGTTATACCGGTAATAGCAATGCAGGTGGAAAATTTTGGGGAAAACAATGATTAAGATGAAGATAGCTTGTCGTAATTCGATACAAAATTGATCATTCAAATGTACCGAGGAAAGGTGTACCCAAAGTAGACAAGATTATTACAGAACAGTCAAGAACCCTATTTAAAACAAGTGATGTTGACCAGTATTAAATGTCTGATTTTGATGAATATACTATTAAAAACAAGTGATGAAGATAGCTTGTCGTAATTCGAAACAAGCCAGAGTTATACCGGTAATAGCAATGCAGGTGGAAAATTTTGGGGAGAAAACAATGATTAAGATGAAGATAGCTTGTCGTAATTCGATACAAAATTGATCATTCAAATGTACCGAGGAAAGGTGTAACCAAAGTAGACAAGATTATTACAGAACAGTCAAGAACCCTATTTAAAACAAGTGATGTTGACCAGTATTAAATGTCTGATTTTGATGAATATCCTATTTCACAAACTCAAATAAAGGAAATATCATATTAGACGTTGAATGCATCATTGCCCTGTGTACAGCAACACATGGGAAAAATTGGACACATCTTATTGTTTACATTGCCACAATTGAATACATTTGGTAGTAAAACTATGAGTTAGTGGATTTTGTAATTAAAGGAAATAATTGACAATCAGGTGCTCAAACTATGCTTTTACCCATTAATTAGCATAAATTCAACTAACTCTATCATTCAATGTGGCCCGCTGAGAGAAAAGAACTAGAACTATATTGAAAGACATGAACTAGAACCAGAACCAGACATTACCAATGCTGAAGCACCCTAGAACTCTATTGAATTGATTATTTTGATATGTTCTTTGAGGCTTACTCTACTGTTAACAATGATGCTTTTAGTTCCATACTTCCATTACATGATCATCTGACTAGCTTGTGATTGTCGTAACCGGTTTTTGCTCGGGTACTATTTTTTTTTATTTGGCGGGAAAATAAATAATTTTAATTTAAAAAATATTTTGGGAGTCGCCATTGACCTCTTTTGGGTTAGGTAGGTCAAATACCTAAAATAATCTTTTAAAATAGTTTTGAATAAAATATTATTTAAAAGATAAAACTGATATGCTTATAACAAAAAATTTTAGTAAAAAAGGATTCGTGGTCGATTACGTTTAAAGAAGGATTAGCACCCCTAAAACGCCCAAAATCGGTAATTTATTAATTATAAATGGTCTCTATTATCAGAAATTTAAAATTCAAAGATATATTTAATTTATAATTCTGTACTTCAAATTAATATAATTTAAGAAAATCTATTAATATATAATATTTTATTTATTTAGAAATATCAGAAAAGAGTTTATAGGTGCTTTAAGACAGATTTTTCCTTAATATTAAAAAATAAATAAATATTAAAACATTTATCTAAAAAATAATAAAAAGAAATTAATATATATAATTTATAAAAGTAAAATATTTATTTATTTAAAAATATCAGAAAATGGACATCCAGTTGTTTTAAGACTGCCCTTTCTTAATATTGATAAATATATTAAAATATGATTAAAATGATTTAAAAATAATATGTTAATTTATAAATAGGAAAATAAATAAATATTATTTTATATATATTTACATGACAAAATAAATATTATATATATATTTACATGACTAAATAAATATTATTTATATACATATATATACATGACTAAATAATAATAATAGTAATGATAATTAAATATATATAAACATAAACATATAAAAGTAAAATATAATTAAACAATGTTTAAAATAAATAAAATTAAAACTATAGTATTAAAATGAATAAAATAATAAAGCTTGTAAAATAAATAAAAATATTAAACTTAGGGACTAAATTATAATATTTTAAAATTAGATACCTAATTGATAAATAATTATTTAAAATTATAGTGGCCAAACATGCCATTTTACCTATTAATTAATTTAGTGACTAAATTAAATTTATATAAAACATCAGTTATTAAATGTAAAATACTAAAATTCGCAGACCTAATTCGATTTATTAAAAATATATGTATTAATAATGTAATTTAATCTTAATTAATTAATTGAGATTAAAATAAATATTATCAAAACCTAAGGGGCTAAATCACATATTTACCCTAATTATGTAATTGATGTCAAGGACTAAATTATAAATAAGTAAAATTAAAAGACCAAAATAAAAAAATCAGAATTAGATTTCAGTGACTAAAATGAAAAGTTACAAGGTTCAGATGGCTGCGAAAAAGGTTTGTCCATGTTTGCAAATTACGCATATACCCCCACCTGAAACAACACCGTTTTGGATGGGGTATATGATCCCCAAATGGCTGGCCCTACGGGTCAACACTCTCATTTCTTCTCTTCTTCTTCTCTCTCTAAAATGAGAGAAGAAGAACTCTCTCCTTCTCTCTTAGTTTCCCTCACCGGAGGGAAACGATCTCCGACCGACCACCGTCAAATCCGCCGCCGGCCACCACATCCGGTGGCCGAAAATTACAAAACCCACCCCAAATTAAAGCTTGGTTTCCCCTAAAGCTAAATCCAGAGGTTTTTTAACCTAAAATTCTACTAAAACGCGTAGATCTAAGTCTTTTTACCTTCGACCTTTGGCTTTCCGACGGCGCGAGTAGGCTCTAATGATCGCTATTACCTCCGTAAGTTTCTCTCCTCTCTTTTCTTTCGATATTTGGTTGCTGTGGGTAGTTGCTATCTGTCTCCCCTTTGTTCTGCTTTGTTGGGTATGGTTTTTGTAGGTTGCTCTCCGTTGGTCTCTATCCCTCTCCTCTTTTTCTTCTTTTTGCAGGTGTAGTCATATAGCCTCGAGGAGGCTTTTGTCGGACCGGTCAATAGGGGAAGCTTTGGTGAGTCACCAAACTTTGTGGTGACTCACCATATAGCAGAGACGTGGACGGCCGGCGTAGAGCTTCTGAAGACTTCGGTTGGGCAGCAACAGATGGAACGTTGGCATGGAGACAACAGAGGCGGTGGCTGGGATGTGGCCCTAGGGTATGATACCCTAGGGTTTGTATTTGGAAGGCTGTGAGCCGTTGGATCAAGCCAGATCCAACGGCAGAGAAGAGGAGCGGCGGCTGGAGCTGAGATTAAACCCTAAATGGGTTTTAGGGTTTCTGTTAGGTTTGGGCCAATCCGTTTTGTTTGTAACTGGGCCGGTCTAGTTTTGATTGAGCCTGTTTGTAAATAATATTATTTAGTAATAATAATAACAATAATAATAATAATAATAATAATAATAATCAAATGAAAAAAAACGAGTATCTTCAGTTATCATTTAATGAATTTGAACAAACATGATTACATAGGATTGTGTATCAAAAGTTGGGAGTAAAAACTTCCGTAACACTGTTATAAATGGTCTGCAAGATACTTTGATCTGAGAGTTTCTAGGGAAGAAATTTAAACAGATCTCTATAAGGATGATGTCATTAATGAGCACTTTCTAAACAAGTTCGTTGATTCCCAACTTCTAATCAGATGCACTTAAATTTTAAGGCATAGAAGAGGAAACCAAAGTAGGCGATTTCCGGAAAAGAGGTTGGATAAAGAAGCTGGTAGAGAGAACTTGGATTACAGAAGCTGCATTGAGAAGAATTGACCAAACATCTAAGCTGAAGTTTACTGTTCTGAATAAAGAAGCATGCCTTTACAAGCCAAGGAGAGTTATTCAAAATCATCCTTGACCTATGCTCACTAAACTGGTAAATGGACTTTTTTTATGTTTGCTTTAGTTTATTCTATTTTGTTGTTAATAATTATTTTCAGTTAAATAAGCTATCTTGCGAAAAACATGTTAAATTCTAGTATAGATAAATAATCTTTGAGACTCATTAAGCAATCACGATATAACTGAATATTGGTCATTGTTGGCTCTACAACCCTAAACCATAGTATTATTGTTCCAGTTACAATTCTACATTGATTTTATCCTCTCTTCTGATTGTTTTATTGGTTCTACTTCCATACTACGCTCATAATTTGATAGGAAAAAAGTAGGCGACAATCACATATCTCTATGAGGCACATTAAACAGTTAACCTTACTAACATCAAGAAGATGGGTTTCCATCAAGTAAGTCTTTACCAAGTTGAGAATACCAAAGTTTAATATGCATGGAAAAAGTAAATGATAAAAATGACGACAGCTAAAATTTAGAGTCAGAGAGAATCAATACAGTGGTCCAAGCAAATTCATCATACTCCTCAAGCCCACATATCTGGATGCAGCACCGGCAAAGCCCTGTCCATGATATAGAAGGCAGAGAAAGAAGAGAAATAAAGATGTCAAACAATAATACCAGGTCCACATGTATCATATAGTTTTAACATGCATAAAACAAATAATACAGACATATTAGTTCTCCAGCTATTCATAATTATATCTTAACAATGTAATAATGACGTAATGCTCTCTCAACAAAAAATTGTGAACAGAAATTATCTGGATTTGTTTATAATCAATTAACCCAAAAGGATAAAAAAATACAATGCAAACCTAACTTTTGGACTAACGGTAGATTAGAGGTTATCAATTGATATATTATTTATACTACAGCAGAGATTTAACTTGATATATTAATATCCAGACGCATGCACAGCCAAGCTTATGCATTACTAATTGGGAGAGAAGCATGTACCATTTGCAACCATTGAATCAAACTTATTCATTACTAATTGCAGAGTGTTTACCAATATGATAGTATATATTAACAACAAGAAACTTCATATTCTAGCATTCTGATGATAAAATTACCTGCTTAGCTGCAAGCAAGGCTGCTCTAGACTCTATATTAATAGCAGCTACCTGTCCCCCCTATACGTCAAGAAAGCAATAAAGCACATTAAGAGTTTCATAGCTAAAATATGTTATATATTCTGGTATCTCAGCCAAGATAATATCCACCTATATAAAAAGAGCATTATAGGTCGCTATAAGATGGCCAAAAAAGAAAAACAGAATAAGAGGGAATAAAACAAAGTTAAAATCAGTCAGTCACGTTACCCCCTGTCAGCAGGAGTCATAATGTCTTTCATGTTTACTGACAGAAAACAAAAGAGAAACTGAAAAAACACAATGAAAATTAAAAGAAAAAAGTTCTTATTTTCTAATATGACGTAGTAGTATACATATGTCCCTTGTTTAATACTTAGTAACTAACTCCTAATAAAATACTCTACTGGAAGATAAAGTTTATCCAGAGATAAAGATGATAAGGACTCCTAATCTTAAAAGACTCCTAAACAGTAGGTACTCTTAATAAAACAATAAAGTAAACATAGTTAGGACTCTAATACAATTCGACATTTACTCATTGAAGGCTTTCAAGGGTAAAAGACCCCTTGTTTCGTTTATACTTCCACCAATTGAAAGATGGTTGTGTAGTTCATACTTCATACCCGTCTCAATCATGGTAACCAAGAGCTTTTTCAGTGGACTAGCAAGCGTATTTTTTATCCTAAATGGGATGATCTGGATCATTTCCACCGGACTCATCCAGTCTTTGAGCCTATAGACAAGCTCTTTCTCAAAGGGGTTAATCTTGTGGATGCTTTTGTGGGTTGAACCTTAGTTGGCAAAGCCATTAGTTTTAGTTTACTAAATTAGGTTTAGGTATCTCAATCGCTATTTTATTCAATTGATTTCTTTCCTTTCAAAAACATTAGTTCTTTATTTCCATATATGCATGGCCTAAAATTATATTTTCCTACTTATGTAATAAGAATAGCAAATGGAATAATAAAACCTAAGTCGAATTTCTATTAAACAAAGAGATTTTTGTCTCTCTCAAATGAATTCTAAGGTTTGGGAATCTCTTAGTTGAATCTAAATTATCAATCAAAATAGGTCTACCCATAAATCAAATTACAGTTAAAAGAAAATTGATCTCTACTTCTTTGTTAAATGCCTAGTGACATGATCCTGTTCGCATGTTCTTAAACAACATTTGTAGCAAAAGTTGATCCAACCTACCCAAAACAAAACAAAGTCACTTGAAAATTCTACTACCTAAAGCATATGCAAATTGAAATTTGTTTGCTCTAACCTTAAAAAAATACTGGAACCTAAACCCTCTCAAGACTCTAACTTAAACCTAATTAATATTTGCTAGTGAAGTAGATGTGAAAACTAAAAGATCCACTTTAGATCCAAACTGGGTTAACAATCAAAACCAAAACCCAATAAAATTTGAACTTAATCAATCGAAAACCCAAAAATGACCTGAAAAGGAGAAAATTCAAATCTAAAAGCCAATGTAACTTAAAATTTCTTACAACCTATTTAGTGACGACTCTAGTTGTTATGAACTCAACTTTTACCTTTCTAAGAGCTTCCTTTTTCATCAAATAGTTGGCAGGTTCCAGAAACACCTTTCCAGACAATTTCTCCGTCAACTACCACAAACAACAAACAAAGGTTAATAAGATAACCAACGCAAGATAAAAGATAAACTACTAAAAAGTCAATTTCTTACCAATTGATAAAGTTTTGCCAAAGTAACCATACCCCCACCCTAAACAAAGGAAAGGAAAGAACTATATATCAAATTATATCAAGAATCAAAATAATCACTCACAAATGAAACTAGAAAAAGTATGGATACCTTCAAAATCATTGATTGGAATTCAGCTGTGCCAACCTTACCAGCAGCAAGGACCTGCACCTTCCACTGGCTGAGTCCCAATTCTAGACTATTTTGAATGTTGGAAATATTATTATTTTCCCATAAGCCTGGAAAAGTTCCCGATTCCTCACTAAACAAGGAAGCAAAACTAACAGTCATCACTAACAGTCATCACTGAACATATATAAACTGATTTTGTTTGTGCGTATGTGTGTTTTTTTCTCTACCATCTTAAGCAAATTGATTCCAATAATCCATTACAAATTAAAAAAAGAGAAACAAGCTAAAAGAGTTGTATGACTATTTAACAAGGATTTCGAAGTTTAGTTATTTACCAGTTTTATAGTATCATCTTTATAAACATTTACATTCATCATGTTGCAGTAATAGGGAGTTGTAAATTGAAAAACATTTTCCAAAACTAAACAGATCCATCACATTTATTCTCTACTTTGGCTGGCAAATAATTTGCTTATTGGGGTACTTGATCTCATGCTTTTGTATCATGAAATTTTTTTCTAAACATTGAGATTGAATGAGTTTACCTTGAGTACTCCCTCAATAGATGAAGGAAAATTTCTGCTTCAAGGTCTTCCGTGGACAATTTGCTTGAGCAAGGAATGTTCAACTTTTTCCTCGCAGAAAGCAGGACATTTCTGTATGATGGCCTCCAACCCCTAATCAGAAGATCAAACGGGATCGGTGAGAAGCCTATCGAAACAGAAACTCAGCTGACACCAAAAGAAATAAAAACTGTTACTTTCGACCATCGGCAACAATCTTATCATATGTTTTATTTCGTTTCAGCAAAGTGCCTTAGCTCCACTAACAGTTTAAGCAGGCATCCAACAGAACGAGAATCATGGAAGCAATCCAAGGCACTGACCTCAATGTTGAGCGGGCATCAGCGGCAAGGAATAAGAAACGTGATTCAAGACCTGCTATAAAAGCTTCTCTCTCCTCAACATTCTCCTCAATCATCATATCCTCCACATCATCTCCATTCAGCATAGACTTTAACAAGGGACTAAAGTAGCTGAAACTTGCAATAAAATACATTTGTTTTGAACCAAACATCAAAATAAAAGCTGAAATTATGGGTACTCAAAACCGAGCAAAAAGGGAAACCTGGGACCAAATAGGATTCTTTGAAGCTCATATAACTCGGCGTCCGAGGCTAGTTCAAGCACCAATCGAAGCTCCGGATCGGATTCATATACAACTGAAAACCAGAATTCTAAGCAAATCTCAAAGCAGTTTCAACACATAATTCTAAATTGTAACTTCATTTAAAAGAAGAAAAAAAGACCTTGGCCGTGTCTTGACACCGCGGCATTACTACAGCCCACCAGCCGAATCGCATTCGAGCGCCGACGCCAACCCATATTCTTAAAGTTTAAACAAAGTACAATTATGAGAAAAAAAAAGAGAGAACAGATAATAAATCGGTAATCGATGCTGGAAGTGTCTTACTGAGAAAGAGGAAGAGAAAGGAAGGCTAGAGGCGGCGAGGTGAGGAAAGCAAGATAGGTAAAGAGCCATTTTCACGAAAAACTGGTAATAGTATTACGATTAGGCGAAGAATCCCATGTCCACTGGTGTAGAAGCAAGTGTTAATATTGATCTGCAAGTTTTTTTTTTTCTTTTTCCCTCAAGCCACGAAGCAAGTGTTCGACTGAAAACTAGAAACCCGATTCCGGGTGTCGTTTTAAAAGCTGTAAAATACTCACCTCAAGATTTTAGGTGAACCGATTATCTATTTTCTTTTATATTTTTCTTCATTTTTAAGGGTTAATATAAAAATAAGGGCCAAAAATAATTTTAATTATTCCGACTATAACTATGGTTAAAAAAATTTATTAAATGGTACGCATTGTGTTTAGATAATTTTTAAAAAAATTAGAATAACAAATTAAAATTATATTTTATAAAAAACTTAATTTTTCAAAAATCTTAAAAAATCTCAAAAACTTAAAAAAAATTAATTATGTCCTATATCAACGTCGGTCGTCGATCTTTGCCGTCATTCTCGCCAATCGAACCTTCGCCCGGTCGGGCCTCCACCGATGACATAGCCACCCGACGACCCAGCCACTTGACAAAGCAAACCTGGCGAACAAAAATCCAAATTGTGACATTGAGGCGACCTGACAACAACCACAACGTCACAGACGACGAATGTAACACCCCCAACCCGTACCCGACCCAGATACGAGTCTGAGATGTCACATTGACTTTCTAAAACAACATTCTTACAAAATAATAGAACATTTGGACTTATATTAAGAAAATACAATAATATACTATTGAATTATGTTTCATTATAAACAAATTTAAGGAAAAAACGTTTTTATGAATAGTACTATAACATCCTCAATACCGGGTTAGTGATCAAATTGTAAAGTTTCAGAATTTGGTGACTAGAGTAGAACCATGGATTAGTTCAATAATTTATTTGAAAATAAATCATAAAAGTTGTTAGTAATTATTAGATGTGAAGGGCAAAAGGGTCATTTACAAGGAAAATAATTAAATATGGTTATATATACAAGTGGGTGGAAGGAAGAAGAAATCAAAAGGTTCCAGAGTTCTCTTCTCTTCTTTTTTCTTCATACGTGAAGGCTTGAATCAAAGGTGAGTCTTCTATTTAGATAATTTATGGATAAATTTAAGGTTCGGTTATGATCAGTAGATGATAACTAAGTTTAAGGAAAGCTTATGTTATCTTAAAATCAAAAGATAAAGGAGTTAGGGAAGATTAAAGATTTGAAGTTCTTGAGTGAAATATTGAAATAAAGTTTATAATAAGAATTGAAAGTTGAATTGACTTGCCATCAATAAGAATAAGAGATTTATGAAATTAGAAATGATTAATAACATAGTTGAAAGTTTAGTAAGATTCTTAAATTTTAAGAATCATGATGAGATATGGAAGATAAAGATGGTTTATATGGATATAAGTTGGTTTAAGTAATGGTAGTTGAGTTTAATGACATGATAGGGGCTTAAAATAGAAGAATTGAGTGAAAAATTGATGGTTTTCGGGCTTAAAATGCAAATTCTGGGCAAGGTGTATCGATGCACATTCAATGTGTATCGATGCACATTCAATGTGTATCGATGCACTCTTTAAAGAAGAAACATCGAATGCAATTAGTGCATCGATGCACCCCCTTAAAATGAAAACATCAAAGGTGATTGGTGTATCGATGCATTGGTAGTGCATTGATGCACATGTTAAAGAATGCATCGATGCACTGTAGAATGTATTGATGCACTTCAAGGGGAAAATAGAATTATACATTTCTTTTGGTCTAAGAAATGATAGATTAGAATACATCAATTAGATACAGATATGTATCAATGTATGATTATATAGATATCGAGCACGAACAAGTTCCGGAACAATTATCAAGTTAAGATTTGATCGAAAGAGAGGAAAATCATAAAAGTGAATTGGTGCGTAGTGAGGCCAAGGTGAGTGCATACTAGTTAGTTTATGATGCTAAATGGAAACAAGACTTGCGACAAGTCTATTTCTTATGTCAGAACGCATGAATATATGGTTATACATATATGAATGACATGAATTGTATGTATGCATGATTATATGTGTTACCATGCTTTTGAATGTAATGATATGAGAAATATGTGCTATGTGATGTATATATATGAACATATGTGAAACTGAACTATGTGAACATGAGAAAACAAAGTATAAGATATGAGATATGTGATCCTATGAGAATATGAAAAGAAGCTATGTGACTACATGTATATGTGAAAGAAGCTATGAGCTTATATGATATAACTGAAAATACCTATGTTATATGATACGAGAGCTATAGGTATAGTTGGCATGCAAAGAGTCGAGGGCTACACGGTCCTTCGGGATATACAGTGATCATTCGGGACAAAATTTCATAGCCCCTAGTGGGACCCCTTACAAGCTGTGGTGACAACATAGTGCACAACCTCAATATACTCACATATCTACAGTTCTCATAGGTATACATGGGCTAATAAGAGATAACATTGAATACAATGTATGCGATATATATATATATATATATATATATATATGTTTTGTGATATGAATTATATAATATGATATATGTATGTGTTAATGATTATTGTATATGTTATAAGATATATGATATGAACATAATAGATCATATAAACAAGAGAATAGAAATATGAATGGTAATAATATGATAATGATAGGAAAGAAGATAATTATATGCATGTGTGGATTTGATATATGAATGGATATATGTTTGGGTATGATGTGATAGCAATAATTGTTCATGCATGATTACAAGTTATAGTTTACATTATATATTTATTGTCTCACTAAGTCATAGACTTAGCGTGTAAGTGATTTACACGTAGGTTTCAAGAAGAGTGAAGAGCAATGTGGAACAAGACAATTCATTTCTCCTTACTGAATGTCAGATCAGAAGATAGGTGAATAATATGTATTTTAATATATAAAGTTCTAGTTGGCATGTATTCAAAATAATATAGTGTATAAGCTCTGAATAGTTTTGTAAACGTTTTGAATAAGTTATATGTCATAAAAGTTTTAAATTACTCACTATTTTATACAAGTAAATGTTTTGAAAAGTCAATGTGACACCTTAGACTCGTATTCGTTTTTAATACGGGTTGGGGGTGTTACATTTAATAGTATCAGAGCTAAGGTTTAGCCAATTCTAGGCTTAAATTGATGTCAAATGAGGTTTAAAAATGTGTACATGCCAACTAAAAGTGAAAATTTCTGATATGATAGTGTAAGGAGTATATTGTCTTGCTAATAGAATAAGATTTGTATGATATAGTAGGAATTGATTATAGAAGTTGTCAAAGTAAAGTAAATCGATAGCTGGCAAACCTGATGGTAATAGCAATTTTCCTGCCCTTGACAGGCAGGATGAAGAGCGGAAACCTCAGAAAGTGTCTTATAAGATTAAATGTTGATTTCAAAAAGTTGAAATCATATTATATAGTGATAGAAGATCTTTATTGTTTTGAATTGGAAAAGCGATATGGATTAGTTTTGTTAGTATGTGGATAAGATAGAATATGGTGAACAAGTGTCACCACAAGACTGTTAAAAAGATCAAATGACGTGGTGAGTACTTATAGAAGAGCTCAAGAATAAGTGCATCATTGACAAGAGTATAAGATATAGAAAGCCAGAGTTTATGAGTTGAAACAAAGAATAGTGTTGTACATAAGCAAAAGTGTGGATATGATAAGAGATTGCATTTTAGAAGGAAAAAGTTAGCGTTGGCTAACAAGAATATGTGATGGGAATATACTGGAAGTATAAGATTATAAGATATTGTCAGGATATGATAACCAAATATGAAATGGATCTGGATACAGTTGTATATTTGGATCATAGTAATATGGTATAGTAAAGGAAATAAGAATTTGTATATTTGAGTAAAGCTGAGGATTGATAAGAAGAGTTTGAGAATGTGTATATCGATGATCAGTTTATAAGACAAAGGAAATCATAATGTTGAGTTTGAACACCGGAATTTATAGGATGTATGAGAATAGAGGTGACATTGATAAGTTAACTAATTTTGAGATAATTTCAATTAGAAAGAATGTATATGATTGGTTGACTAGGGCTTGTGCCCTAGATTGAACAGATATTATTGACTAGCTATTAGAGTAAAAGTGATAGAGTTATAAGATTGGAGGAAAAGATAAAGTTGAGTTAATCAATTATGATGTGAATCTGAATATAGTTGTGTATTCTGATCAGATAGCTATGATGTAGAAAAGGAGATAAGTATTTGCATGGAACCTTAAGGAAGGAAAATACAAGTATAAGAAATGATAAAGAATGAAGTTATGTATAAGAAATGAGTTATCAAAGTTATGAGGATGCAATGAAGATTGGTACATAGAGATGAGTATAGATGATAAGACACAAGTATGTGAATATGAAAGGAAATATATGATTTGTGTATAAGGAATAATGGAATAAAGAAATGAAAGGGATTGAGTTAAAGGATCAGATACGATAAAGGTTATATGGAAGTGTAGATGATAATTTTGATATAGAAGTAAGAAAAGTGTGCAAGGTGATGTGAAAAGATTCTTTAAAGTGTATGTTGAATCATATTTAAAGAAGATTTAAGGTCGTGTTCTTGGTTAAATAATGATGGAAAACGAATTTGGTTATTCTTATAAGGTAGTTAGAGATGGATTTATAATGTTGAGTGATAAAAATGAATGTTACTGTCTATATAATGAGTGACATTATACGGATTTTAGAAAGGTCAAAGGAAAATGCAGAATTGAAGGAGATAAAAGACATAAATGGATTGAGGTTATGAGTTATTGTGTATATGATAAGTGACAGTAGATAAATGTATAAAGGAAAAAGACAATTGAAGAAATAAAGGAAGGAAATATTAAGTAAAGGAAGTAGCATGAGAACATTAGAAGATATGTTCTTATTGATATGTTCAGTGAAAATTCGAGGACTAATTTTCTTTAAATGAGGGGAGATTTGTAACATCCTCAATACCGGGTTAGTGATCAAATTGTAAAGTTTCAGAATTTGGTGACTAGAGTAGAACCATGGATTAGTTTAATGATTTATCTGGAAATAAATCATAAAAGTTTTTAGTATTTATTAGATGAATTGAATGG